AAAAAAAACTAAATCCCCGTGCATCGCACGGGATTCTCACTAATTAAATTGACGTTTTGTAATTATATTTTCGAAGTACAAGGATTTGATATTTCAAATTCATAATATATAAAAAAAATAAACAAATTAAATTAGAAATACAAAAATTTGACTGGGAACTTTGCATTTATATATTATATAGATATAGATGGATTTTTTTAAATTTAAGTTTTTAAAATGTTCTACTTATAGAAAATCAACAATGCAAAACCAATTTTAGTAGCAATCTATTTTAAGTTTTTGATATCCAAATTTAATAATTTTAATTTCTTTTTTTCCGGCCCACTGTCCAACCTCTCCAAATTTTCTATTGATTACCTCTATCAAGCATCAACACGTTCTCTCTATGAACCGCTTTATTTTGAAATTGAACTCTCTCTCTCTCTCTCATGTGATTCTGCCCTCGTTTTCGAGGTTTTTTAATATGAATTTTATCTTATTTATGTACACAGACCAAGACAAAACCTGCAAGTCTGTGACTTTCCCATTCACTTCTCTCTCGCTGCATCCACAAAATTTTCAAAATTTCAAATAAAATTGACTTTACCCGGTTGTGATTTACCCCAAACCAACAAAACCCTTGTTGAGATTTTTCATGTCCGATCTTTTTTCTTCTGGGTTTTTGATATAAGGTTAATTGCAGGCTCCAGGTAATTTGTGGACGTGTTTTTTAATTCCAGTTTTTCTGGGTGTAGTAGTTTGATGGGTTCTTTTTATTCTCCTTCAATTTCTTCCTTTTCCCCCAATTTTCTGTATTGTGATAACATTGGCGGCGCTGTATTATGGATCTGCAATTTTGATTTAGCTGTAAGAATCCGTGTTTATGTTGTCCTTAGAAGAAGCTGTTTGTTCTTAATACTCTGATAATCTCTGGTACTTGTTTATGTTGAAACGAAAAATATTTTATGTTAAATACTCTGCTGTTGTTTTGTTGTCAAAAAAAAATGAACTGCCCTTTGATGTCTTCACCATATTTCTATTCTTGGGGGAATGATTTTAATTATCTGCTCTGGTGATAACTGATAAATGTGTGCTGAGATTTGCTTGGAAGTAGTTTACGGGAGAGCTAGTATATTTTTAGGAAGTACTTACTGATAATTTGTTCCGGGTTCGCAAGAGCAAATAGTAGCGTGATACTTTAGTTATTCTATTAATTTTATGTTTCCAAATTGAAAAATGGGTACACCCATTTTTCGGCAGAATGTCGATACTGAATATGATAACCGTGAAATGGTGTTGCAATTGTTTTGTTGCATTTGAGTACACGAACATTGTATGGAAGAGGATTTTTGGGTCTCTTCGTTTTATTTTCCTGTAATGCAAATTATTATTATTAAGAGTTTAATTATAGTGTAAAATTGTAGAGTTGTACGAAAGGGTTTTTGGGGCTTTTACAATTGTTAACTGCAGGGTTTTAGTCCATAAGTAATAAGATATACTTTGTACTTTAATGTGCTCGGGTGGTAGTCAGTTTTGGAGTGGGTAGAATCATTTGAGGATCAGATGTCCATAAGCATATTTTGTATTAAATCCTGGATTTCTTACAAGGAATCTTGAAGAAAGTTGATGGCTTGATGCTTAGTTTTCTTGATGGATCCTTTTTGTTCTGCAGCGTTTTAACTTTCTCAGCTTTTTAGATTGCAGTCCGACACGTTATCCAAGTTCTCTTGCTTTGCTTTTCCTTTTCAAGAAATACAATCCCTGATGGAATTTTTTTCTTTACACTCGGTTTGTTACTGAGAATTTGCCCTACTTTCGTTATTCTTATTTCCAAAACGCCATTCTGTTAGATTCACATCACTGTAATGCAATGTTCGTGTTAGATTAATTTATGTTTTTTTTTTTTAATATTGTTTTCGATTCGTAAATTGACAGGTATAAGTACTGTTGTGCATGCCCTAATGGCAAGTGGGAATCCCTATTTTGATGATTTGAGAATGAAACCCGAAGTCATTGATCCACCTGAAAATGAAGACACTTTGGATGTTGGGGAACATGTCAACAACCCTTCTGAAAGTGCTGTAAAGCCTAATGTTGCTATCTCAAGTAACGTCCGTGATCTTCTCGAGTGCCCAGTTTGCTTGAACGCTATGTATCCCCCTATTCATCAGGTACGTTTATCATGCATCTGGATCTGCTATATGTCTGCATACGTTTTATTAATCTTGATTCTTGATTTACACTTTTTTTATTAGATACAATTAAGGAATTCAGTTGTTTGGCCCTTTGAATTTTGACTCTGGATATCCTGGATTACAATTTTAATATCCATCTGTTTTGAGCTTCTTGCCTTGCTAAGGATGACAATGATAAGTCAAATTCAACTCCTATAAGTTTCTCAATGTGCCATCATACCTCTCAAAGTACTAAAATGTTGAAAACGGCCTACAATATGAGACCTTTTTACAGTCAAACAGTTGTGTGACTAATATGCATTGCAATATATGATATTGGCATCATGTGTTCTGACTGTGGTGTAGCATAAGTTTATCTGTTGGCTGTTTCTAACAGTGAAATGAATTGGTAATTGATTAGTTTCTGCTGGATTTTTGTCTCCTCTATTTAATTACTCGAATAACTTTCTTATTTACAGTATAGTTTGTGTTTTTCGCCTTGCCATTGCCCTTCTTTTCCTCATATTTTTACTTTTATCATCCTTATTATTATTATTTTTGTCATGCTCAATCGGTTTTCTCGGTTTTGTTATTGCAGTGTTCGAACGGCCACACATTATGCTCTGGCTGCAAGCCCAGAGTTCACAACCGCTGCCCAACGTGCAGGCACGAGCTCGGCAACATTCGATGCCTGGCACTGGAGAAAGTAGCCGCATCCCTCGAGCTCCCTTGCAAATATCAGAATTTTGGGTGTATTGGAATCTTCCCTTACTATAGCAAACTCAAGCATGAATCTCAGTGCACCTTTAGGCCTTACAACTGCCCATACGCGGGGTCCGAGTGCTCTGTTGTAGGTGACATCCCGTTTCTCGTGAGCCACTTGAAAGATGACCATAAAGTCGATATGCATAGTGGTAGCACATTCAACCATAGATATGTCAAATCGAATCCGCATGAGGTCGAGAATGCCACGTGGATGCTTACGGTATAGTAATTCTTTTCCTTGTTGTTGTTCGTTTTTCCAATACAGTATAATATTCTTTTATGGGATGTCACAAATTAATAGTCCAATTTGTCACTAAAAAAAAAATGCCAAATTCAAACGAAAAATCCTACAGTAACAATGGAAATTCCAATGGATATTCCCATCGTATAGCTTCCGCTGTTATGATTTCAAGAAATTCAAACGAAAATATTCTGTTGAGATCGGTTTTCTATTGGAATTTTAGATGGAATTTGATGATTTCAACTGCTATTTTTCTAAATACCGTTCGAATATGCAGTCTCCATTTGAATTTTTATTTCCACAAATATTTCAACTGTTGGAATCATCAAATCCAACGAAATTCCATTAGAAAACTCATTTCAATAGAATATTTTTGTTGGATTTTCTGTTGGAATCCATTTGAGAATTCCAGCGAATAATAACATTAGAATATCCATTGAAATTGTCGTCGAAATTCCATTGAAATATATTTACGTTGAAATTTCAACATTTTCTTGCCTTATCTTGTAGTGTGTGTCTTTTTCTTTTTTTTTTTTTAATGTACTCGTCTACCACTAAGGGCATGTTCAATATGATTTTTTTTTTTTTGTTAACCAGAGTTAATTTTGAAAAAGATGATATGATTAGTTGTTAGTGAGGTTTTGATAAAATAATTAAAGTTGATTTGGTGTAAAAGTATGAGAAAGATGATGTCAAGTAATGGTTAGTTGTGAGTGGATGAATAATAAATTAAAGTTGATGGGATGGTAAGAGTGATTGGTTGATATAATTTAATTATATTGATATAATTGAGGATAGTTAAGTTGGGTTAAAGTTGAGTTAGATTTTGGGTATGAATTGAGTATGGATTGGGTATTTTTATTTACGAACACACCCTAAAGCATCTTGGAAAAACTTTTGTGGTGTTATGGACAAATTTAAAAGATAAAAAAAAATATCAGAGAGAGAGAAGTACTAAATATTTACCAAAACCCACTTCCTCTTTGTTTTCAGCTTCGAGTGATTCGATTTCTTCATAATTTGCTTATTAAACGATGTTCATACTCCATGTGGAAAAAGAGCAAATTGGATTATACAGTTTTTGACGATTCTTGTTCAAACACTGCTAACTAACTGTTGCCTCCTCAAAAAACAGGTTTTCAGTTGCTTTGGGCAGTACTTCTGCCTGCATTTCGAGGCATTTCAGTTAGGGATGGCTCCCGTTTACATAGCATTCTTACGTTTCATGGGCAATGACAACGAGGCGAAAAATTACAGCTATAGCCTCGAGGTCGGGAGCAACGGAAGGAAGATGACGTGGCAAGGTGTGCCCAGAAGCATTAGGGACAGCCACCGAAAGGTCCGCGACAGTTTTGACGGGCTCATCATTCAACGAAACATGGCCCTATTCTTCTCGGGTGGGGATAGGAAAGAATTGAAACTCAGGGTCACCGGCCGGATTTGGAAGGAGCAGTAGTTGGAGTGATATATGGGCTCACAATCACTCCATAACCGTGTTTTTTTATTTTTTTAATTGTAGAATTAGGTTATTTTATGTTCTTTGGGCCACGGCGGTTTCGTCTGGCCATGTGTTTCCCGAGTTTCGCACGGGTAATCTCTCCTTGCTCGACCAGTGCATGAAATACATGGTTAGGGGGAATCCTGCATTAGGATATGTTGTATTTGTTGATTTGGAATCTTTATAGTTCATGTTGTATGTTTGTGCCTGCATAAACTTGTTAACTGCTTGGCCACAAAAAAATACTAGGAAATATGGGCTATAAGAGATTCTGTTACATTATTGGATGAGTTATCTTTGTTTTTATTGGATTTGTTGGACAACGAGAGTTAATTTTGAAAAAGTTGGATTGAGTTAGATTTGTATGAAATTTTGAGTTTGTATTAAAGTAATATTTAAAATATAATAGTTAAAGTTGATTTGATGTTAAAATAAAAAGAGACGATTGAAAGTTATGAGAAATTAAAATATGTGATTGGATGAAGTGAATTAAGAAGAGACGATTAATTTTTTATTTTATTTTCAAAAGATTGGTCCCTAGCTTGCCGCTTCACCGGAACTAGTCGCCTCATCCAGGGGCGCAGCCTCGGCCGCCTCGTATTCCCTTCTCCATATTTGAAGGATGTAGTGGTAATTTTGTTTGTGACTTTTTATTATGTGTATTTTTCAGTGTGCTTCCGTAAAATATAACTTATGTTGCTTTTTT